GTGATATTTATATAATGTATATATACATATATATACATATATGGACTATAAGAAGAAAAACATGGCTTCAGGATTGGTGGAAGACTCATTAACAACCTGCATTATGCAGATGACACCCTTGCTGAAAGCAAAGAAGACTTGAAGCACTTACTGATGAAAATCAAAGACTACAGCCTTCAGTATGGATCACATGTCAAAATAAAGGAAACAAAAATCCTCACAACTGGAGCAATAAGCAACAACATAATAAACGGAAAAAATATTGAAGTTAACAAGAATTTCATACTACTTGGATCCACAAACAATGCCCATGGAAGCAGCAATCAAGAAATCAAATGATCCATTGCACTGGGCAAATCTACTGCAAAATATCTCTTTAAAGCATTGAAAATTGAAGATGTCACCTTGAAGACTAAGGTGCACCTGACCCAAGCCATCATATTTTCAATCTCCCCATATGCATGAGAAAACTGGACTATGATTAATGAAGACCAAAGAAAAATTGATGCCTTTGAATTATGGTGTTGGCAAAAAATATTGAATATACCATGGACTGCCAGAAGAAGGAACAAATCTGTCTTCGAAGAAGTACAGCCAGAGTGCCCCTTGGAAGCGAGGATGGTAAGACTTCATCTCACGTACTTTGGACATGTTATCAGGAGGGACTAGTCCCTGAAGAAGGACATCATGCTTGATAAGGTAGAAGGTCAGCAAAAAAGAGAAAGACCCTTAACAAGATGAATTGACACAGTGGCTGCAACAATGAACTTAAACATACCAATAATTGTGAGGATGGTGCAGGACAGGGCAGTGTTTCGTTCTGTTGTACACAGGGTCACTGTGAGTCAGAACCAACTTCTTTCTTGGTGGTATGAGGTCCCCATGTCTCTCTGCTCAATTCTCTTTTATATCTCAAAAGAGATAGACTTAAAACACAACCTAAACTTGTAGATTGAGTCCTGCCTCATTAACGTAACTGCCTCTAATCCTGCCTCATTAACACCATAGATGGTAGAATTTACAACACATAGTATAATAACATCAGATCACAAAATGGAAGACAACCATACAATACTGGGAATCAAGCCAAGTTGACAGATATTTTGGGGAGACACAATTCAATCCATAACAAACAATTACAAATTAAATTTCTTTCAGGCATCACTCGCTCTTCACAGAAGTGGCAGGAAGTCTGGATAAAGAATTTCTGACCTTACAACAAACACTCCAAAGTTTTCCATAAAGTTTCATACTTTAGTCCTCAGTCCTTTGATTTGCAAATTCTCTAAACCCTTGGACGATTTTATAACATATACTGTCCTCCTTGGACTGGTCAATCCAAGATACTACTCTTATTGTGTACTTTTTTACTTATATTGTACTTTAGGAGAAAGTTTACAGTGCCAATTAGTTTCTCATTCAAAAATTTATACACAAATTATTTTGACATTGGTTTCAGTCCTCGCATTGTGTCAGCACTCTTCCCCTTTCCCTTTACACCCTGGGTTTCCCATGTCCATTTTTCCAGCTTTCCTGTCCCTTCCTGCCTTCTCATCTTTGCTTTTGGATAGGTGTTGCCCATTTGGCTCGTATACTTGTTTGAACGAAGAAGCACATTCCTCACGTGTGTTGTTGTTTGTTTTATAGGCCTGTCTAATCTTTGGCTGAAATTGGACACTTCTGGAGTGGTTTCAGTTCTGAGTAAGTAGGGTGTCTGGGGGGCCATAGCCTCAGGAGTTCCTCCAGTATCTGTTAGACCAGTAAGCCTGGTCTTTTTTTGTGAATTTGAATTTTGTTCTAGATTTTTCTCCTGCTCTGTCCGGGACCCTATATTGTGATCCATGTCAGAGTGGTCAGTGGTGGTAGCCGGGCACCATCTAGCTCTTCTGGACTCAGGCTGGTGGAGGCTGTGATTCATATTGTCTATTAGTCCTAGTTTTCCTTGTGTCTTTGGTTTACTTCATTATCCTTTGCTCCAGATGGGATGGGACCAATTAATGTATCTTAGATGGCTGCACTTAAGCTTTTAAGGCCTCAGACACTTCTCACCAAAGTAGGATGTAGAACATTTACTTTTTGAACTATGTTATGCCATTTGACCTAGATGTTCCCCAAGACCATGGTCCCAAGCCCTCAGCCCCAGTAACTCAATCCCTCAAGGTGTTTGGATGTGTCTAGGAAATTTCTATGACTTTCCCTTGGTCAAGTTGTGCTGACTTCACCTATATTGTGTGTTGTCTTTCCTGTCACCAAAGTTAACACTTGTCTACTATCTAGTTAGTTATTTCCCCTCCCCACCCCTCCCCTCCCTCGTAACCATCAAAGATTGTTTTCTTCTACAAGTAAAAAAAAAAAATTTTTTTTTTAAATAGTGGTCTAATACAATATTTGTCCTTTTGTGATTGACTGATTTCACTCAGCATAATGCCCTCCAGATTCAACCATGTTGTGAGATGCCTTGCAGATTCATCATTGTTCTTTATTGTTTAGTCGTATTCCATTGTGTGTACCATAATTTGTTTATCCATTCATCTGTTGATGGGCACTTAGGTTGTTTCCATCTTTTGGCTATTGTGATTAATGCTGCAATGAACATGGATGTGCATATGTCTATTTTTGTGATGGCTCTTAATTCTCTAGGATATATTCCTAAGAATGGGATTGCTGGATCATAAGGTATTTATATTTCTAGCTTTTTAAGGAGGCACCATGTCGTTTTCCATAGTGTTTGTACAATTTTACATTCACAGCAGCACTGCATAAAAGTTCCAGTCTCCCCACAACCTCTCCAACATTTGTTATTTTCTGTTTTTTTGATGCATGCCAGTAATGTCGGGGTGAGATGGTATCTCATTGTAGTTTTGATTTGCATTTCCCTAATGGTTAATGATCGCATCTTCTTGTGTTCTTGAATTAGAAACCACAGTCCTTGTATTCATCACACTATGTCAAGCACTGTTTGCTTGCTTCTTTAATGACGATTTTTGCTGAACAGACCATATCTGGGAAGAGTAAATGAAAACTAAACTTGCTAAGTCTCCTTACTTATTTAATCAATCTCGTCCTCCGTATATTTGTCATGAGTTCTTTGAAGTCAACCAGAGGCTCTTTGAACATTGCATTCCTTCCTTCATGAAATAATCCTTCAAAAATCCATCTGAAATTTATGAGATAATAGAACAAAGGCCTGAGAGAAGCAAGTTAACCACTTGTGATATGATTATAACACAATTCAAGTATCCTTTCATCACAAACATCTTTGAAAATCTATGGAAATGGGTTTTAGAATTAGAGTATAAATGAAATGTTGCTACAATATTACGGTGTGCCAACTTCTGATTGGCTTTGATCCATACAGCTGCAAATTGGTCTATAAAAGAATTACCATTGATGGCCATTTTCAGTTCCCATTCCCATAACAGACATCAGTAATCAATCCTCACTCTCTTTCTTAATGACCCTAAATGTGACTTTCCTTAG